ATTCTTGTAAGGGCCTGCCGAGCTCTCCGTTGCGGGAGCCAGCTTTATTCTGTCTCGCTGTTCCTTTGGTTCAGCCTCTTCACATCTCTTACATAAGCTCACAAGGCCCTTTGTTCATGTTCTTTTTTTTTTTTTTTTTTAACTTGAATTTAGCCCTCAGAGAAGGGTCAGGGAAACTGTTTGCCATTGCTTCTCTGACCCTCAGCTTGCTTCATTGACCTGCGCCCCAGAAACGGCCCTCCCCGAGCCCTCGCAGAGCATCCGCTAACCTTCAGGCTGCACTTTGAACACCTGCTGACTGCCAGAGCCTGTGCTGAGGAACACAGGGATCGCGGGGCTGGGAGCTGCCCATAGTGTAGAGGGAGAAGACATGCTGGTCATATGCTGGAGGCTTCAGGGAAGTACGAACCATACCCTTCAGCTGCTGAGTTCTGGCAAATGGAGATAAAACCACTGGCTCACTTACTTGGGGAAGTGGAATCTGAGAAGGTGGCTCTGCATCTGGTCTCGGTTAGATTCCCTAACATCACGGCTGGGGTAAACTCGCCCGTCCCACACTGCTGGCCTCCCCGTGGCAGAGCCAGGGCCCTGCGACGTGCCTGCGAGAGCAAGCCGAGAAGGCAGGCACCCAAGAGACAAGGCCAGGGGCCGAGGGGGCTCCGAAGGGCCACCATGAGCAGCACGCTCAAGCCCCTTTCCCAGACGCATCAATCAGATGGGACATGGGGGCGGGCAGGCAGGGGCCAGGTGCACGGGTGCACAGCCGTAGCAGATGAGGTCCTGGCAGAGACGAGAAGCGAAGCGGGCGGGGGGCTCCTAGCAAAGGTGACAGAGCTTATGGGACCCCAGAGGCGGGAGCTGCAGCGCTGTGGGCTCAGGGATGGACACTTGGGAACCCCTGCCCGGGGAAGGTACTGGGCCTTGTTTGAGCTGAGGACCCGCAGGAAGGAAGGCTTCCCAAGTAGCAGAAGCTCAGAATCAATACCTACGGGGACTCGTTGCATTCTAGAAGGCCAGCTGTGTTGTCCAGGCAAAAGAACCCCGACTGGGGCTTTCTGTAATCCTACCCTCTTCCTCCCCACCCCCACCCCAAATGACTCGACTGATATCAGAAATCCCACCACCAAGGTCGTATTCCTGGAGCCTAAGACTCTGGACCCCATGATGTGATTTCCTTGTAAAGGGGGAATGACTGTTCTAACCCATTGTCTCAAAGGAGCCCTGGTAAAACAGAAGGCTGGCCCTGCACCCCTAGATATGCCGATCAGCCCAAACTGCGGCAGGTTCTGCACAGTGGCTTCAGCTCCCCACACCCTTGTTTCTTCATGGCCAGCCGGAAGGCGGCAGGCCTCCACCAAGCGCCATCTTCCCCAGTTCCCACCACCCTGGTTGACCCTGACCCTGTCCAGGGAGAGCCTCGGGTCCCAGCCGACAGGTGAACAGGCCCAGAGAAGTTGACTGCGTCACCCCAGCCACACACACAGCCCGGGTGCAGGAGCCGAAGCCCCCATGTTCTCATGACACTGGCTCACAGACGGGTTCCCTAGAGTCCTGGGGTCCCCAGAAGTGCCTCAGAGGCCGGAATGGGGGACCTAACTGAGAGGGAGGCCAGCTGCCACTCTTACGATCCCTTTGGAAAAAGAGGCTCCTTTGGGGAAATGGTTTGAAAATCACTACAGGACATCTGCGGCGGGTCCCGTTTGAGCCCAGGGTGGATGCATTTAGGAGCTGCCGGGCCGTGCGTCTGTCTGCCCCGCCTAGTCAGCAGCACAGGCCTTGCCCGTGACAAGAGGTTTCCTCCTGTAACTTGTGCACCACTGAAAAGAAGTCCTTGGAGGCCCAGATCCTTTCTCCCACTTTCATGATCGTGACTCAGCCGAGTCTCTGGCTTCCAATCGATTCCTCAGGAAGGAAGCAATAGCATCAGACGCAGGGCCGATGACAACACGGTGGACATTAAGGCACATGGTCCCGCAGAGGACCCTCCTAGAACAGGGCTGACGGGTACATTGTCATGCTGGTGTGTAAGCCCTCCCGCCTCGATTCTTGCTATAAAAATTCTAGAAGGATTCAGTCCCCCCTCCCAAGCTGGTCTCTTTTCCACAGTGGTTTAGACAGAAGAGGCCCCGTGTGTCACCCACCCAGTCAGCTCTAGGCCCCGGGGACCTCAGAAGCATACATAAGCCCACCCCCAAAATGGAAGCAAGGCAAGAGCCAGGTGTACAGTGAGAGGAACGTTCTGTACAGCTCTCCCGAGGCACTGGCACACTCAGGTAACCTAAAACCGTGGTGGGCACGCAGCCGGCTGGCTAGAGCCCGGAGGGGATTGCATGGCTGAGAGACAGCAGACAGCCCTGCGCTGTCCTTCCCAGGATGGACAGGCTTTCACCAGGGCCCACACCGAAGGACAGATATGTGTGACCCTTATTCCTGCAGAGTCCCTGTGTGTCGTAGGTGCTCAGTAACTACCTGGTGAGCTGGACGTCCAGAGGACGTGAGACAGACGTGGTGCTGGCATTGCCACCGTCAGGGCCCAGCGGGATTTCAGTGGCCCGAGTCTCCAGGTCTGAGGGGCCCCTGGGCCAGCCCATCATCTCTGCGCTCCCTGTCAAAGAGGACATCCACAGATCGGAAGAAGAGACAGGAGGCATGGGACCCGCTTTCCCCAGGGCTCTGTCCCTGCCTGAGGAGTCAGTGGTTGGTGATGATCACTAGGAAAGAGAGGGGACTTGAGGAGAGGGGCCATCAGGCTGGTTGAGGTCAAAGTCAGCAGCATCAACATAGCACAAGTGCGTGATACACACCTGCCCTTTTCCAGCCTCTGGGCTCAAAGCTGCAGGTGGGGAGATAGAAAGTGTGCTGTCCATGAGCGGACTCCAGACCCCTCCCCAAAACATGTCTAGGGCCATGGCCCTCAGAGACCGCAGACGCTGGGCTCCCCTCTGCCAGGGATGACAGCTATTGAGCAGGCCTTGGAGGTAGGGGTGGGGGGAGGGGGGCCGGCCCCACAGGAAGATGCAGGAGACTGGAAGTGTGTGTGGACGCAGCAGGGCACGCCGGGGGTGTCAGGGAGCCATAGAGACACAGGTTAGTAAGGGCAGTAGAGCCAGGCCTCAAGGGATCTGGATGTTATCTGGGGTCAAGGCCGCTGTTCTCTCTAGAGGCCCAGACCAGGCTCTGCCTCCATCATGCCCTGAAACCTTGGACAAGTTGTTCAGCCTCTCTGTACCTCAGTTTCCTCATCTGTACAATGGGGGTAAAATAATAGTACCTTTGGCATCACGTGCAGATGGAGAAATGAGGGCTCTTCCTGGCATAAAGCACACGTTTAATGAATGTTAGCTACTGTTGTTGCTATTGTATCATTCGTTCATTCATTCTTTCATTCATTCACTCAGCGACTCTTCCCTGGGCTCTGATGGTGCCAGGCGCTATTCCCATCCCCGGGGACGCAGCAGTGAACACACGCACACAGTCCCGGCGCTCATGTGGCCGATGGCTTCACTCTGTAGGGGGCATCCAGACAGCGCAGGAGACCAGCGAGAGGAACCTGTTGGCTGGGATTAGGGAGGACAGGGAAACAGAATGGAGCAGGATCGTGCTGAGTACGGGGGGGAGCAGGTTAAGCAGAACGGTCAGGGAAGGCCTCCCTGGGAGGCTAGTGAAGAGCGTGAGGGCTGAGCAGAAGCAGAAAGCTTTCAGGAAGGGTCACTTTTCTGCAGGGTGGGATGCCCGTCCCCGAGCTCTGCCTCAGGCTGACCTGGCAGTGGCCGGGTGGGACAGACAGGTGTGGCAGGCAGCAGGTGAGGGGCCCACGGAGGCCCTGCCCCGGTCAAGGCAGCTCCAAAACAGCCTCCAGAACACAGCTCGTGAAGTACCCAAGGAAAGTACTAGAACTTTTCTATTTCTTTTGTGTTGTGTCCTTTCTACTTTGCCCTGCATTATATTATATATAATATGTTACTGTACGTGTAACTTGGAGGTGTGGGTGCAGATGTCTCTGGCTGCCCAGAGTGGAGGGCGGGGGATCCAGGGGGCTGAGGAGTCGGGGGCCACCCTGGAGGTGGAAGAAGTAGTCAGTGGGCCCAGGGATCAGCAGCCAGCCGAGTAGGACTCTCCACAGTAGTCCTGAGGAGAGGGGGGAGGGGTCTGAAGTCCTCGAAGATGCTGGCCCAGCGCTGGGAAGAAGGTGGTGCCAGGGTCACATGCCCTCAGGAGGAGAGGGCACTTGTGTGTGCCCGAGAGACAGGTAGGCAGCAACGCACGATGGGCCCTTTGGGAAGCAGGGGCTAGAAAGCAATTCGGAACTCAACCGGAGAGAGCTGAGGCCTGACATTGCAGCAAAGGTCATTTTCCTGCCTTTTTGAAAGTGACAGCTTGGTTTTCAAAGGGCTTTGTCGGTGTCATACAGTTAATAGTCTCCAGGACGCACTAACTTTCACCGGTCAGAGGGCAGGGTCTGATGGAGCAGCCATTTTACTTCATGCCGGTGAACATGGCAGCCACAACCCGCTCCCTCCGTACACTTTATGGCATCAGGAGAACAGGCCGGAGGGCAGTCCTGGAGGTGCTGTGCGCCTCTGGTTTTTCTGGCCTTCAGCTCATTCCAGCCCTTTCCTTATGGTTGTCAGACCTGAGGGCAGGTGTCCCGAATACCAAGGGGCCCTAGGTCAAGCCCTGAGCGTGAGTGTCCTCAGGGTGGGGGTGGGGGTGGCACCAGGCAGGCCTCGCTCCCCTCTGGCTGGTGGTGACTCCTGTACCTTCCAAGGCCCTACAGCCAGAGCGAGTCGGGTCCCAGTGTAACGGTGGGCGGGCAGGGCCATCCGCCGGCAGCTGTTCCCACCCGGGCTGGGGGATTGGCTGGCTCTGGGCCCTGCGTACTGCCTGCCAGGCTCCCACGGGGGGGTGTAAACATCCCCAGCTAGAGTCACAGCCGTTCGCAGGCCCTCAGAAGGGCAGCGCACCAGGAAAGCATCTGTCTTCTGCTCTCCCCCCGACAGCCGAAGTCTACATTGGCATTGGGAAGCCTGCAGAAGCCACAGCCTGCACTCAGGAAGCCGCCAACCTCTTCCCCATGTCCCACAACGTCCTGTACATGCGTGGCCAGGTGGCCGAGCTCCGGGGAAACCTCGACGAAGCGCGGCGCTGGTATGAAGAAGCCTTATCCATCAGTCCCACCCACGTGAAGAGCATGCAGCGACTGGTGAGTCTCAGAGCCAGGCGGGGACCCCACTCACAGGTCGGGGCTCCCCCTGAAGCAGCAGGCAGCTTCCTTCCGGTTGGGAGGCCCATGTGGTTACCTGCCAGGCTGCCACGTCCGCCCGCACGGAGCCACCAGCGCCATTTCCGTGTGGTTTATGCAGATGGGGCCCGGGGGGCGGGTGGCCGGGCGCAGCCCTAGCAGGCCTGCCCAGCAGTGGGTGCCGCCATTGTGACCTGGGTCTCTGCGCCGCTTATAGCAGCCACCTTAGGAGGGTGTCCCCACCCTGGGGAGACCCCGGCTTGTCTCCCAGGCTGCTGGCTAACAGGGGCTTCCTGCCAGAGGAGGGCAGGGTGGGCCCTCTTACAGAGGACCCAGGTAAGTCATCTGGTTTCCACACTGCACGTGGTGTGATGGTCCCCCAGAAATGCACGCTCCCCAGAAGCCTGGGGCTGCCCGGCCACTCCCCTCCATGCCTTGCCTGGGTTGGCCATCCCTCCACCTCGGTTTCGGTGGGGTGGGGAGCAGACCCATCACTCCACAGCATTCTCATTGGTAGTATTACTGTGCGAGGCACATGAATGGAAACTCAAAAGTGAGCCAAAGTCTGAGTTGCCAATGAAAAGCCATACTGCTTCTCTGCGCCCGCACGCCAGGCTGAGGTGTGGGATTCATGCTTCGTATTGAGGGGTGGGATATCTCTGATTTAACGACCCACTGGACAGAGGAGCCTCGTGGTAAAGCTGAGGTGGCCTTCGTGTCGGCAGCCCTCGGGAGCCTGGTGTCTGTAGTCAGTGGTCAGTGTGTGACACAGAGATGGAGCCTTGGACGAGGAGTCTGAGAACGGACTTTTGGACCCTGTGGCATCAGTTGCTCGCTCGTTAACTTTGGGGAAAGACCCTAAGCTGCGTGCACTTGGTTTCCTTTCTGTAAAATGAAAACAAGCAACTAAATAGGCTGGGAGTTTGCTCCAGCGCTAGGAGGCTGTGGTTGAGTACCTAAGAAACAGAATGCTTTCCAAAGGATCACAAAGCCTTAGTTAGTTCTCTTGCCATGTCTTCTAGTGATATTGCAAACTGTAGAAGGAGGTCAGCAGTTTCAAAAACAGCCAACTACTGGTTTTCTGTTTTAAAAACAAATCAAGCTGGGGCACCTGGGTGGCTCAGTCGGTTTAGCATCTGACTTTGGCTTAGGTCACGATCTCACGGTTTGTGAGTTCGAGCCCCGTGTTGGCCTCTGTGCTGACAGCTCAGAGCCTGGAACCTGCTTTGGATTCTGCGTCTCCCTCTCTCTCTCTGCCCCTCCCCCATTCATGCTCTGTCTCTCTCTCTCTCTTTCTCTCTGAAAAATAAACATTTAAAAAATTAAAAATAAATCAGACCTTATAATTACAGCTACTCGATTTTTTTCACCTTCCCTTTATGAACATTGTGTAGCTCGGTACAGCTTTATAAATAATTTTCCATATTATTCAAACATTAGTCTGTTTGATGAAAAATATTACATGGCTTTTAATTTTTGTCTCCCTGTTGTAAGCGGGATTTTGTACAGAGCTTTTCAGATCTCTGTGCTTTTGGTAGAGCATCGCAGAAGAGGTATCATCAACACCGTGTACCCATCCTTTTTATTGAAAAGAAGCGACGTGTTTCTACCTCGGGGCCTATGAATTATTCAGACAAGTATTTCTCATTTGTCCCCAAGGGGAACATGAGACAAAAGATCAAGTAGGAAAATCGCACTGGGAACATCTTCTGTTTCACCTTTGGAGCTTTTCAAGTCACCCGAGCTCCCCAACAAACGTCAGATGCTTTCCTTTCAGAAGGGGCAGCCTCAGGCCCGGTGAGGGGAGCTGGTGAGCGGGACCCAGGTGAGGCCGGGCCTTGCCTGCTGGGTCACCAGCAATGGCCGAGCCTTGTCTGACTCAAAAGCATTCTTGCCAGTAGAAAATAGTAATCACAAACCCTTCAGACTTTTCTCAGTGCATCCTGATATATTCAGAGACTACTCAGACTGGGGGCAGGCTAAGGCCCGCAGGCCTACAAATTTGAGGTCTAGATCCTTGGTCTCCAAAATGCTGCCCAGTGATGATAACTAGTATGAGTCCCAAAGGGCACGTGGACGGTTCCTTCTTGGTGATCTTGTAAATGATCCTCCCCAGCCTGTGTTCCCCAGACTGACCCCCACCGCCCATCTCACAGCTGGCAGATTCCCTTCCCACTGGAGCTGTTGTGTCTCCTGGTATCTGGGGGGGGGGGGGGGGACAGCCCCAGAACCCCCAAGGCCTCCAGCCCAGACACATCACAGCCCTTTCTTTTCTGCCTCTGTCCTGAGGCTGCACAGGAAAGCTGTGCCTCATTTCTATGGCTTGGAGCATAAGAAGGGAAGAAGGTGGCCTTTGCAATAGAAGCTAAGGATGAGGCTCTAGGCCAGAAAAGGTGTAAGATTAGAATCCCAGCTCTGTCACTCACTGGTTTGGGGACCATAGGCAAGTCACCCTCTTTGTGCCTCAGTGTCCTCAGATGTATAAATGGGGCCACTACTAGCACCAGACACAAATTAAACATGGAACTGAAATCTCTTTATTAAGACACAGGAGGTCCTGACTCTGCCCTCATAGAGACCAGCCTGGGTTGCAGGCCCCTAAGTTGAGGGCACGGGGTCAGCAGAGAGATCAGAGGCCTCTCACCAGGCTGAATCCCAGGGAGCAGCCAGGAGCTCGAGACTTCTGTGCTGGAGGAGGGTAGAAACAGCCAGGATGACGGTTGCCTGGCACTCAAGGCCAGGAGTGTGCAAGTAAGGGGCTGGGTCAGAAAGGGTGAGGCTCAGAAGATCACAGTTTGGAGGAGTTTGAAGGGTGAGATGACCAGAGGACCAACCAAGGGGGTTCCCAGGGAAGGAGGGGCTGCAGGCCAATTGTGGGTCATAGGAAAAACCAGAGGGTGGAAAGTGTGTCCGCGCCGGAAGTCAGGCTCGGAGAGGAAGGAGAAGAGCTGGAGGGACAGTTGGAGGGAGCTGTCTGGAAGGAAGGAAGCCACGTCCATTACAGGTGGAGCCCAGGTGGCAGATGGAGGGCACGGAGATCCAAACAGGGAGGAGTTCTGCCTGTTCCATGAAGAACAAGGGTTGGAAAACTTCTAGGGCTTCTTAGCTACCCTTGTATAGCATGTGCCAGATCGCCCGGCTTGGAGGACAGGGACGATTTAAGCAGAAATGCAAACACATTAATATTGTTAAAAAAGCAGTAATGACTTGGAGCAGATGGTATTCACTAAAGTTAATAGAAGGTCAGACTCAACAAAAGAAACGTAAATTACACCCCAGTGAAAATTAACACTTTTCTAATGGTTTCAGCCTTCCTCTACGTGTTTCAATTCTCCCTAGAGGGAAGGGAGAAGAGAAATAATGTGTTTACCGTTAATAAGATTTGGCACAAGATAAGGGAGGCAAAGAGCTAAGTGTGGGCAGGTATTAAGGGAACAGAGACCCAAAGGGATAAGGAATTACAAAGTGAGGTTGTTGACAAGGGGAGGAATTCATAGAATGATCAGACTTTTCCCAGAAAATCTAAAGGCATATTTTCATATGATTTTGCATAAGTGCATACACTTACATACATTTGCATGCCATGTTTCAGCCCCAGGACCCGAGACGAATTAACGAAACACAGAGCCCCCTTTCCTACACCAGTTTCCCTGTGACCTGGAGTAGGCGGAGAGGAGGCGAACAGGGCTGGGTGTGGGCTGGGGGCAGCTGGCGAGCACTGCTCAGGCCAAGGGCAGGCACGGAGACTCAAGGTAGCCAAGGACAGAGCTACCAGGACAGGGACAGGCTCTGCAGACAGGGACACCTGCTCCACATCTCATAACCTCGTCCTGGGCTCACAGGGGCAACGCGCGAGATTGGAGGGTGAGAAAGGGACAAGAACTTCCAGGAGAGGAATGGGTATGGCAGGGAGCCAAGAGGTGGCATGGAGAGGAGCTGATAAGGCGAGGAGGGGAACGTATTGCTGAGAAATAAATTTACCCTAGATCACACTAGCAGGATGCTCAGGTCTTCCTCCAAACCACTTGACAGGTTGAGAAAAGGTGTGGAACAGAGACAGATGGTGGGGGCCGCCCAGGGTTTCCCAGAGTGCACAGCATGTGGAGGGAAGGAAACAGGGCTCTGAAGAAGGCTGTGAGCCTGTGAGGGACGAGGCCCAGGGGAGGCGGGGCTCAGCAGAGGCACTGGTGAGCCCAAGCCCGCACCTCCGCAGGGGGCAGGCAGAGAGATGGCATGAAGGGTCAGCCTTCACTGAAGGCAAGTCTGGTGCAACAGAGGCCATGATATTCCAGACTGATTCTCAGAAAAGAGCACACATAGAGGCCATCCTCTTGAATGTTGATGTTTCTAAGACAAGGCCTAGAAAGGGACAGAAGCCATCAGTCATTCAAAGGAGGGCAGCCAGAAGACCGGAGAAGGTGGTAAGTTCTACCACCTCCCCCAGAGGAAGTAGTGGTTAAGAAACCACTGGTGGAGCTCCTCAACGAGAGGGGAAGATGGCTGGGAAGGGAGGCGGTTGAGGTGATGGGTTAGGCTAAGCCATCTGCCCAAGGAGTGTGGCTGAGGCCTGTCTTCTATGGAAGGATCATAAGACCCAAAAACTCCCGAGTTCAGTCAAGATGGCTTCCGGCTATGATTTCATACACAGGCTATCTTTTTTTTTTTTTAATGTTTATTTCTTTACTTTGGGAAAGTGAGAGAGCATACATACGGGCATGCGAGCAGGGGAGGAGCACAGAGAGAGGGAGAGAGAGAATCCCAAGCAGGCTCTGCACTGTCAGGACAGAGCCCGACATGGGGCTCCATCTCATGAACCATGAGGTCATGACCTGAGCCAAAATCAAGAGTCAGACACTTAACTGACTGAGCCACTCAGGCACCCCCACCCCGACCCTCACCATACACAGGCTGTCTTGAAGGGTTTTCTCCATGATCTAATGTTTTCCGAAACATCAGAAATC